ATGGGATGTGCCCTGAAAGTGTGTGAAGTTGAGTGCATGAAAGCAATGTTATCTCAGGTCTTCATGGAGTACATGAGCTTGAGGACACATGAAGATAGTGAAGGCCTTGAAAGCTTGTCGCTTCCTGCCGAAGTTCCGCAGTTCTTACTGCTCGGCAACCAGTCATCTGGGAAAACAACAATCCTCCAGCGGATGACCAAGCTACCCCTGGGTGTCACAGGAACAACGCAAGGCACCTGCCGACCTTTTCAGTTCACGCTGATCTATGATCCCAGTGAAGATGGCCATGTGATCCATGTGGATGGTGAAGAGGTGGTAAGAGAGCATCTTCTGGAAAAGCTCGGGGCCAAAACTCCGAAAATGGAGGACGCTTTGACTCCAGACGCGTCAGTGTCACCGTTCGGTCCAAGCATGTCACTTCCCTCATCATCGTGGACATGCCTGGGCTGAGCATGCAAAGCGAGGAGCCTTTGAAGATGGCCCTGAAGGAACTAGAGGACAAAAATGCTATCCCCATCCTTGTCCTGCAAAGCAGCGACCCAAGGTCTGCGGAGCCTGCCCGTCAAGCTTTTGAGAAGTTACTGGAAGGCCGTGGAAACCAGGCAGTAGCAATCATGAACAAGTTTGATGAGAAGATTCTGCAGCCTGAGTCGGAATTGGGAAATGCCACCAAGTGGAACCAGTGGGTTCAGAGCTGGAACAATCAAGCAGCTGAGCAGACGGGCAGATACTCTGCCTGGTTCATGGTTGGAGTCCCGCCTGGAAACCCCAACCAGGATCTTGTCACTCGCTTGAAGGAATCCGGCGCGAAAGAGGAGGAGCTGATCCAGGGATGGAGGAAGAGGTGTGGTGCTGAAGCACAATGGCCCAAGGCCATCAAATTTGGCCTTGCGAGCTTTGAAGAGCTTGTGCACAATCAGCAGTCAGAGAAGTTGGCCAATTTTGTGAACACTGTCGGGCCTCGACTAGATGAACTTCGAAGGAGCGAGCCGGATCATCTTCCCTCAAAGCCCCAAGGCGGCTCAGGGCTGCTCCAAAAGATGGCCTTCATTGTCACTGAAGGGCAGAGCATTTGGGAAGGAAAGCTAGAGTCAGGGCAGTTCACAGGAAAGGTGAAGAAGACATTGCCACAAGAGCTCGATTGGCTGAAAGAACAAAAAATGGGACAAAGGGCTGAGCACATTATAGATATGCTCGAGAGCGGCAACTGGCAAAAGGCAGTGGGGCCAACGGTTGAGCCAATTGCTGCCAGCGCTGATGATTTGGCTACTCCAGCTGCGCCGGACATGAATACAGCGAGTGCTGATGGTGGTGACAGCATGTCAGCTGCCAGACGTCGAAAGGAATATTTACAGACTTGGCTGGTTAAGACTGTGCATGCTTCGGACACCCACCTTCTCGGATTGACAGCAACAAGACGATTTGCGGAGTGCATTGAAAGATTTGCTTTTAGTTTCCTCTTTCTGCATACAACACGAAACTACACTCTGGAGTTCTTCAGGAACTCGGTGAGTGATCAGCAGCAACAGTCCGCAAACAATGCTATCAAAGAGTACAAGAAATCAATGTGCGCCCGGGTTTTCAGACCACTGGTCGAACTGATGAGAATTGTGCTTGAGGACCAGTTTGTCAGGAGCATGGATGCCCCTTTTGATTCAGACCAGCGGGATCAGAAGCAATGGTTCCGTGCACTGCGCAAGGAGGGCCTCGAGGTTGAGAACATCCGCAAGACATACGAACAGGAAGCATCTTGGCATAACTTGAATGACAAGGGCTGGGTGAATAAGCTCCAGTGTCGTGCATCAGCTGCTCATGACAAGGCAAGCTGCAGTAGAGCGGCAGAACCATGTGTTTTTTCCTCAGGTCACTAGAGTTGCGCAGATGTGCGGCGAGGAGTTTGGCCGGATGATGGAGAATGACATTGAAACCCTAGAAAGCGAGCTCTTTCATAGCTTCTCAGATGACGAGTCCGCCGAGTTCATCAGGCGAAATACGGTCCTTGGTGATTCCACACATTTTGGACGAGATGGTGGCAACTATCAGTACTCGCCTGACGCCCTTGCTCGCAGGCGCTGATAGTTCTTTTGCGTATGATGTGTAGGCTTCAGGTAGGGAGCACTTCACAGGTTAGAGTGCAACAGTACAGGGAAAACGTTGCATGTTGTGTTGCAGTGCTTGCACCCTGGAAGGTTTCTGGCCATGTTCGTGGCACAGGTGAAGGAGACTTCGTCATTCCACATGACGGCCTTGCGTGATCAAGCGAAGAATGCCCTGCAGAATAGCAACATCACCACGCCGGTGGAAGCTGGTGAGCATCAAGTGGCTGACTACTTCCATCCCATTGAGGGCGATTCCCCCCATGTTATCGCAGAGCCAGGCTTCAAATGCATTTCTTCTGCTCCGACTTGGAATCAACTCTTTTCTGGCCCCAATGCACCTCGCAAAGAAGATTTCAAAAGATTGCATTTGGCCTCACCAAAGTTCAGTTCTGCTGAATATTGCCGAGTTGATATGGAGATTTTTGGCCACACAGATCAAAATGTCGTCTTTGCTTCTCCTTGGCCGACGCACAAGAACCAGCTCGCAGGAATGAGACCAGACTCTTGTGACTGTGGTGTTGTGCTAGTACGTGAAAAGACAGGAGAAATATGCCAGCCACAGCAAGCAAAAAAGGACTGGGAGATGGTTACTTTTGAGCTTCCAGAGAGCCCTGACGAAGAGTACACGATCCACATTTTGGACTTCCGACCGCGAGGCATTGCTTGCAGACAGATGAAAAGCCACCGGCGTCAAGAGCATAACTCGCCGTCAGCAGCAACCGCCCCGCAGCAGGAGTCAACCCAACAGCTGGATGCAGACCAGGCATTGGATCAGCAGCTTGCTCGCCGATCACTAGGGACCGGTGGTGCCTTGGCCAAAATCATGGGTTCTGAGGTGGCTTTCCATGTTGAGAGCCACCCGCAGACCCGCCATGAGGCGACCATGTTTCATGACCTGTACTCCAGAATCGCCATGGAGATGACCTCGACCTTGAAGCAGTTCCACGCGGATATTCAGCAGAACATCAGCAAGTTTCGTGAATTGAGCTATGGTCAGGCTCCTTACTTCATAGAAGGGCTTGGGCGCTCTATCAAACACATGGAACTGAAACAAGAGGAGGAGAATCGCTTGAAGCTTGCCCTCAGTTGCCGCCGCCTGATCTTGCTTGAAAAGGCACGCGTCCTGTTCGAAGAATGCCAAGCTTTGCGTTGACGGGTGTGTTCATGTCATTGTATGGTACTTGAGCTCATCGGATCTGCTTCAGGAGCTGTGTTTGTTGATGGCATCCTTGCAAGGGGGCGGAGCCTGTCTCACCGTGGCGCAGCCTTGAAGACCTGAGCAGGCGCCTGTGGGGCCCGAGCTAAGTGTCTTTGGAGAGTGCACAGAGTTGGCCAGACAACATTAGGGCCATTAGTGACTACTTTGGTTGCTTTGAAGAGCCATGAGAGTTCTGGGTTAATGAGGTTTGAGGGTTGTACATACGATCCTTGGTTAGGATGAGAGTTCTCGTCGCAGAGATGTTCTGCACCTGTTTACCAGGGTGACAGAGGAACGGCTTGAGCTTGTTGTGGTACGACACGCTCTGCCTCTCCTTTACCGCTTACTGTGGCAGACCATGGCAGACTGCAAATCACGGTTCAAACGGCTGAGGCGGTCTGTGATTCCGATACTCCGGTTAGAGTGTCATTTTCAGAGTTCTGGGAAGGTTTAGGTATGCTGAGGCGTTTTGTTCTTCCAAGAGGTTCAAGTCCGTCATGCATGCAAATTGGCAGTGGCTGCAGGAGGGGCAGCAATCCATCAATGATCACCCGGGACCTGCATGAGTTGCTTATGATGGTGCAGCTTTTGTTTGCACTGAGATGTTTGATGGGAGGATTCCTGGATAAGTGGCCTAGGAAAGGCTTCCACACGCTGCTAGCGGGTCGATGTTCATTCTTGCCGCAGGGCATCCATCACATCACAGGCCACGCAGATCTATCGTAGCAGAGCTTCAGGTTGGCTTCAGCAACGGGTTTTGCAAAGCTGCCGTTGCCTTGCCGGGCTAGTCTGCCACAGCGTTCTGGACTTGTAGGACTCAGCAGAATGACTGAAAACAACAAAATTGGATCACACTGCATCGAGGTATATATTGAGTTACTTGGGCTTTGCGTGTTTTGCCGCAAGGATCGGCATTGTTTGTTCCTCTACCCGGATTCAGGCTTCCAGCTTTGGGACGGCATCATCGCTCCGTGCAAGTATTTCTAGTGCTCTTACAGGGCCAATGCAGCGCTTGGTCTCTGATTGTGTCGGGGCACTCACCAGCATGTCTAACTGAGTCTAGCTTCCATGCTCAACTGGCCTTGTATGCGTGTGCATGTTGAGTTTCAAGCATTATCAGGGATTGTGGCTTTTCCGAGGTTTGCTCAGCCTTGACTGCGGGGCCTGAAACGCGCGACGCGTGTCCCATGTCCAAAGGCTGCATCCAAGTCTGCCGAGGGCGGCAGCCCGCTCGATCAGCTTTGCTTCGATTCGCCGTGGTGTTGCTCTTCGGGGGTTTGGGAGCGCGGTGCTGGGGATTTACATTTCTGGGCTGCCCCGGCCTCGGGTGCAGCTGGAGACCAGGGCCGTGTCGAGCCCACCGGCTATCACAGCCGTGGTGGAGGCGCCAAGTTGGCGGGAGCTCGGGCGCGGAGCTTCTCGGAAACCTGACAAATGAGAGCATCGCCGTGCGCTATGCAGAGCTTTGTAGAGATTTCAACGTGCGCGTCAAGCGGGGCAAGGCACCTTACCGCTTGACTCCATTGGGCTTCAGCAAGCTGCAAAAAAAATGTTGGGACGTGCTTGGAAGCAAGGTGAAATTGAGCTACGTGGGCTCTCGCCGGGATGGTGCGTTCTCACAAAGCAGCAGCGACTTGGACATTTGGATCACTGCGCAAGGGAACCACCCTTTCAAGTTCACGACTGAAAGGAAGGAGGCACTCAAGAAGAGTGTAGCTCAGCTAGATTGGGTCGAGGATGTGGTAGCAGGAGATGTGTCGGTAAAGTTCAAAATCAGAGATCCCGATGAGAACCTTTCCATTGCTGTAGACCTTGCCCTTTGCCCGAATGATCCGGAAGATTTCCCTCTGCTTCGTGGCAGCCCCAACCGATGGGAGAATGACGAGCGCGTTGATGGATTTATGCTTGAACACCCAACAGCTGGAGTTGCTGTCAGTGGAGTGAAGCAGCTTCTGACAACTCGGCCTAAGGGGATTCAGTTGAAGGCCCTGGTGCGCAGAGTCGCGCTCTACTACAACTTCTCAGTCAGCGATCGCAGCAAGCACCAGGCGGGTACAGACGTCAATTCCGAAGCTTTCGAGCTGTTCTTGCTGCTTCTCCATGAGCTGCGTAACTGGAACGTGTCCCGGGCTTTTGGCTCCGACTTGACTGACGACCTGGCTGGGCATCCGAAACGTAAGCAGCACGCGGAGCGCTTTGAAAGGGCTGCGGAAGAGATAGATCGAGCTGCCTGGCTTGCATGCTTGGACGAACTGGAGGAAGAGAGCGGTTTCATCCACAATACCAGGCCAGAACTGGGTAGGCATCCCGACCGCCACTGCTTTGTCCTTCCTGGGAATCGGAGTGAGAAAGGCGGAAGTTACAAATACAAGTGCATCTGGTGCCAAGATTACAACAGAGGGGTGGGCCTGCAGCCTGGAGACCGCTGCAAAATATGTAAGCAAGTTCAAATTGAACATCCAAGATTCCAGGAGATAAAGCAAGAAGTTGAGCTCGCGGAGGCCCGTTTCGCAGCATCTGCAGATGAGCCTGTCCGTGGTCGTTATCTGGTCAAGATGAAGACTGACATGCCCAAAGGGACGAATCAATCGCAATCTCGTACCTTGGCAACGAATCGAAGCAGCTGCGACAGCAAACTTGAAGCGGAATCGCACGTGAAGGCCTTCAACGCAAAGATCCTGGACTGCATGGCAGTATGTTCATCTTGCTCAGGTTATCATGATCTTCAAATAAGTATCTTCGCGACACTAAGGAGGAGTTGGGATCAGCTGAGGGGCGCGAAGCCAGGAGAAGTCATCACGAAGCTGTGCCACTTCTATCAGAAGCTTGGATAGGGTTGGTTAAATGTCACAAGCTGTGATACCCGATGTTTTTTTCTCGACGTATCCGAAAGAGATGGGCATCATACAGCTCCCAGCATCTTTGCTCTACAGCTGAGGCAAAGGTACGGCAACACCCCAGAGTTTAAGTTTGACATGCGTGGTGACCAGCGTGGTGAACCGCCGGTCAGTTTTCGTGCGACGGTGCTGCTTCCATCAGACAGTCGCGTGGCTACCGGCAACCCGATGCAAGACTGCTTCACAGCAGCTTAACACAATAACAGATTGCTAGATGAGGTCCCGAACCGATACATTGTGCGAAGTAGCCTTGCAACTGGCCGAGTTTGCTGTATGCAGATGGATTGCGAGTCCCAAAAACTAATTTCCAAGCCCCTTCTATCCGCGGTGTCGATAGACCAGTGATAGACCTGAACATACTGTGCTATAGCATACAGTAGTATGTTGTTGTCACAAGGCTTGATTTCACTACGATTAGTTGCCAAAAAAGCCTGGGATTCGCTTCGCTTTCGGCCGCACCTGGCCTCGTAAAGCCCCTGTCCAGCTCAGGTAGTTGGGAGGTGTCGAAGCGGAATGCCAAGATCTCGGCATTGCGTGAAGCCCTGAGCGCGAATCCGTGCGGTGGCCGTAGTTTTTCAGAGCTTTTCTGACCGAAGACAAGTCCGAGCGCTTGCGAATACACTGGCAGGCCAAAGTCCGCAACGTCCAGAGCGTCCGCGTTGCACAGCTGATTGGGTTGAGACAATGTAAGGCATGTCCTAAATCCTAAGTCCCAAACTCTAATAGCCCCAAGCTCCCTGGACTCCCTGAACCCGAAACCCTGAAAAGAGCACGTTGCACGTTGAGGGTTCAGGGTTTGGGCGTTACGGTCAGGCCGTGCTAGTAGCATAATTCGTCTTCCTTCCGAAAGTCCCCCCCCTCCCACATGTGAATCACAGTGAGAAAGATGCCAGAAGTGGACCTTACTCTTCCCAATTTCATCCACCCTGGAGGCCGCGGCTCTCTTGACGCCTTGGCAAGTACCAAAAGCCCTAAACCCCCAAGAGCCCTCCAACCATCCGAGCAGTGGCTGTTGGTCCTGGGAGCCGCTTTGGATCGTGGTCGTTCATCGTTACCGCAGCGCATGTTCTCCTGCGATGCCCTGCTTCCAGTGGCTCAAAGAGCTGGTGCCTTGCGCTTGAAGTAAGGTTTTGGGGGCTGGGGCTTGAGGGCACTTGGGATGCTGAGGCTTTCCCTCCTACACACCTAGGGACCCTGAACCCTAAACCCTAAACTCTAAACCCCAAACCCCAAACCCTAAACCCTAAACTCTTTTAGGGTTCAGGGTTTTTAGGGTGGACCAGCCTGGGCCAAGGTACCGTGTGTGCCTCGCCGGCGTGAGCCGGCCGTGAACCGCTGGCTCCTCATTACGGGGTGCGACAGCGGCTTCGGCCACTTGCTGGTGTCGCAGGCCCGGGGATGTAAGCCAGGTTGCTGCCCCAAACCCCACCCCCTAAACCCTAAGCCCTGAACCCTACACCCTAAACCCTATTCAAAAGACTCTAAACCCTAACCCCTAACCCTAAACCCTAAGCCTTACACCGTACCCCCCCCCCCCCCCTAAACCCAAACCTTGAGATGTGGCCTGAACCCTCCAGGCTCTGGGCACCGGATTCAACGTCGTGGCTGCCTGCTACACCAGAGAGGGCAGTGAGGTGCTGGAATTCAGAAAAGTCTGGGGTTTAGGGTTTAGGGTTTAGGGTTCAGGGGTTTAGGGGTTTAGGGTAAGCACCGAAACCAGCCAGGCTCTCGACCGTCGCTATTCCAGCAATGCCGGCAGTCCGGCTGCTAAAGACAGCGAATCCATTGCGAATCAAGACCAGGAGACCCTAAACCCTAGACCCTACACCCTACACCCTAAACCCTACACCTTAAACCCTACACCCTAAACCCTACACCCTAAACCCTACACTCTAAACCCTAAACCCTAAACTCGTAAGCGCTAAGCCCCCAGACCTTCAAGGCTCAGCTGGATGACGTCAGGTTGGCTGTTTTGCGGGCCTCTTGTGGGTTTTTGATGCCTGAGTCCCTGAACCCGAAGGTCCTAAGCCCTCAACCGTACACCTCAAATTTGTTGAGGGGTTTGCAAGTGGCTGTGGGCATCGTGGGGGGGGTGGGGACTACGTTCGGTTCTTAGCCCAAAGCTTTTTAGGGTTTAGGGGGTTCGGGTTTAGGGTTTAGGGTGCCCCTGAACGACAGCCTGGCCCCAGGAGGCCTTGATCAACAAGGACCAGAAGACGGGCAGCTTCGTCTCCGTGGTGGGTGATCTGACCACGGCCCAGGGGATTTCGGCGGTTGTCGCTGCTGTTCCCCGGGCCATTCTTGGAAGCCTTAGACCCTTAACAGGGCCATTTATCTCGTAAACCCTAAACCCCAAACTTGGGATGTTCCCCCCTTAGACTGACAGTTCTTCATAGGGATTTCATAGGGGGTACTATGATCCCGACGACGGAGCTGTTCGTATCAGGGGGGGGAAACATCCCCTAAACCCCAAACCTGACAGTCTTGTTTGCGTCTCAGAGTTGCTTCGAAAGGGCATCGCCTCGAAGTCCTGAAGCGGAGCCGAGGTTCAGGGTGCCGTGAAGGAGCATCAGCAGTTTTGGGCCATCGTCAACAATGCCGGCATTTGCTTACCAGGCACTTCGGTTCGGAGTTTTCGGAATCTGTTCGGGGGGCACCCTGCTCTGAAACCTTAAAAAGCAAAACCCTGAACCCCCAAACCCTAAATCCCCAAGAGCCTTAGCCCTAAACCCTAAAGTTTAAGCTGGCTCCCAGGCAATGTGGACTGGGCAGAGCCCGTGACGTACGAGAAAACCTTCGCCGTCAACTTCTTTGCCCCAGTGAAGTTGACATACGAGCTGCTGCCGCTACTGCTGAGGAGCAAGGGGCGGGTGGTGAATGTCGCTTGCTACCGAATGAGCTGCACCTCAAAAGCCAGCTAGCCCTGAGGTTGTGAAGCTTTATGGGTCTATGGAAATCGGATCCTTCAAGCCTGGCCTAGGATGTGACAGGATGTCATAGGATGTCGTTATATGTCGTAGATCATGGTAGTCATGGTGCTCATGAGCCAAGGTCACATCGGTAGATGGCTTCATTGCGCTGCCGAGCAATGCTGCCTACAACGCTTCCAAGCATGCCCTGGAAGCCTACAGCGACACCTTGCGCTGCGAGATGCGTCCCTGGGGTATCAAGGTCGTCGTTGTGGAGCCGAGCACCATGAGGACTTTGGGGCACGGGTCTGCGTGGTGGTACCGCGCAGGGCATGTCCTGTGTAGATTTGTGTACATGCACGCGCACGGGCGCACTCGTGATGGTTGTGGTGTCATGCGATGGCGTTGATGTGTATGTCCCTCCTTGCAACTACGTGTGTCAGAGTAATTCAAAATTTGCACATGTCATCCCCGCAGCTTGTTTATTGGCCGCTGCAACTTTTGTGGCTTGCACCTGCCAGTGTTTCGTGAGGGTCGCCGGGATTTGGATGGCAAAATATGTAGTCTCGAGTGCTAACCCTGACCCACAACCCTAGGCCCTACGCCACACACGACACGAGTTTTTTGCACATTTAGCCGAGCAAGGCGTCTAAAGGGGGTGGCTTGAAAGGAGCCTTCGAGCATAGATCAGACTTCTACCGCCCCCAAATCTTTGTCGAGATGCGCCAGTTTCCGCTTGCCGTCGAGCGTGTGAATCTTAGGCATGCTTCTAAGACCTTATCACTGCCAAGACTAAACCCGGGGTGAAAACAAAACAACATGTCAGAGTGCTGCACAGAACACCCTTCGCAGTGTGCTCACACGTACACATGCATACATATTAAGTCGCCTGGGCTCCATGCAGGGGGCAATAGGGGCCAGCTTCCTCCTCATAACACCTCTCTCTACAGGCCTGAGTACCTTACATGGGAACTTCTTGCCAGAAACGGTGCTTACAGCTTTGAAGCTCAGGACTCCGCTTGTCCTCGCCTATGCAGACTCTTGGCTGGCGAGCTTCAAGGCTCAGCCCGAAACCCAAGACCTAGCAAACAAAATTGACAGACAAAAAACTGACGGACTCATGGGCCAGCAAGCCCCTTTTGACGCGTGAGTGTCTAGGGTAACTCTCGCTTAGGTTTGTCTGTTTGCGCCGCCCTCAGAGGTAGGTCTTGGCGGACAACTCGTAGTCCGAATGGGATTGCCCTCTGCATCCACATGGCAAGACCATGAAGGCGTAAGCCCACGAAGTCCGAAGTCTAGTAGACATGGCCCCCTCAACACCGAGCCGCATCGCTATTTCTCGCAAATGAATTAGAACAGCAATTGCAACAAAGCTGTACATCATAAGCCGGGCAATAGACAGTATGCATCAGGAAATAGCAACAATATCAACAATGGCAGTCATAGTAGGGAGAATAAAAACAGCAATAAAGATAGTAGTAGTAGATTAGATTAGAAGTCGTCGTCGTCGCCGCCGCCGCCGTCGTCGTCGTTGTCGTCGTCGTCGTAGTCGTCGTCGTCGTCGTCGTCGTCGTAGCCGTGGTGGTGGTGAGGGTGGGGGTAGCGGCAGCGGTAGTGGTAGTAGTAGTAGCAGCTGTACTGCTACTCGTACTCCTCGTCGTCGTCGTCGTCGCCGCCGCCGCCGCCGTGGTCGTGGTCGTGGTCGTGCTCGTGCTCGTGCTCGTGCTCGTGCTCGAGGTGGTGGTCGTGGTCGTGGTCGTGGTCGTGGTCGTCATCGTCGTCATCGTGGTCGTGGTCGTGGTCGTGGTCGTGGTCGTGTTCTTGGTCGTGGTCGTGCTCGTGCTCGTGCTCGTGGTCGTGGTCGTCATCGTCGTCATCGTGGTCGTGGTCGCGGTCGTGTTCTTGGTCGTGGTCGTGGTCGTCCTCGTGCTCGTGGTCGTGGTGGTGGTCGTCTTCGTGGTCGTCCTCGTAGTAAGCGGAGAAGAAGAAGAAGTAGAAGTAGTAGTAGTAGTAGTAGTAGTAGTAGTAGTAGTAGTAGTAGTAGTAGTAGTAGTAGTAGTAGTAGTAGTAGTAGTAGTAGTAGTAGTAGTAGTAGTAGTAGTAGTAGTAGTAGTAGTAGTAGTAGTAGTAGTAGTAGTAGTAGTAGTAGTAGTAGTAGTAGTAGTAGTAGTAGTAGTAGTAGTAGTAGTAGTAGTAGTAGTAGTAGTAGTTATAGTTGTAGTTGTAGTTGTAGTTGTAGTAGTAGTTGTAGTTGTAGTTGTAGTTGTAGTTGTAGTTGTAGTAGTACTATGGTGCAACCGCTCAGTTTGCCCGCGTCGTTGGTCCCACGGTAGGCAAGACATGCGCTGGCGCAGTGTTTAACGCTGTGACCTTGTCTGCAAGCGCCGCTCGTTTCTCTCTTCACAAACGACTCATGTGGTTTTGTGTCTGCATGCGGCTCCCCACGAATCTCACAGAGGGTGGCCATTTGTGAAAACATGGCCAAGTGGCATGCGCAAGACACAAGAACCCACACAGGGTTGTGTTTTTGCAGCGTAGCGTTGTTTTGGGATGCGGGGCAAAGGTGTGGGCAAACCGAGGGGCTGGCGAGTCATCTGGTAAAATCTGTGTAAGTCGAGTCATCTTTTACGGTCTATGTACGTTGAGTCATCTACTAAGGTAGTCTGTGGCATGTTGGACCAATGGATGTGCTCGTAACATGGACGCGACAGTGTAAGTCGCGTCATCTCAATGCAGATGTGTCGGAAAATCCAGACATCTCCAACACAAAATTCGACGCTTTCCCGGGAAGTGCCAAAAGCATGCGTTTAAGTACGTCAAATGAGGAAAATCACACCGTTATTTTTTGTACACCCGGAGTAACAGGTAGTCATAATGTTACTAGTAGTGATAGTAGTATGAGCAGGATAGCGCCTTGCCATCCCTTGTCATTTTCACCGTTCGTCAAACTGCAAATTTGCCTGTGCGCTCTCTCTCTCTCTCTCAACAAGGCCCCGGCCCACAAGTTTCGCTTGCTTGCCAGGCCGCCTCTCCAGAGCGGCGCGAGAAGTATGGGGACGAGTGGGCCCAGGAGTTCGCCGAGCGAACCAAGAAGTGCCTTGGGGTGCACGAGAGGGTTGCATCGAAGGCACGTTAGCCCAAGTCTGACATGCCCAAAGAGCCTGCGCAACCGAAACCAAGTGATCTGCAAACCTAGAAAGAAACCCTAACCCTAAACCCTAAACCCTAAGCCCTGAACCGTGAACCCTGAACCCTAAACCCTAAACCCTAAACCCTAAACCCTAAACCCTAAACCCTAAACCCTAACCCTAAACCCTAAACCTTAAACCCTGAACCCTCAACCCTAAACCCTAAACCCTAAACCCTAAACCCCAAACCCTAACCTTCCCAAAGCCGAGGAACCTCAGTGGCCCCGTGGCGGACGACCCACAGATCACCGTCGACGCTCTGCTCGAGGCTCGGAAGGGTGGATATTCCAACGCCCCCTATGGAACCTCTATACCCTAAACCCTAAACCCTAAACCCTAAACCCTAAACCCTAAACCCTAAACCCTAAACCCTAAACCCTAAACCCTAAACCCTAAACCCTAAACCCTAAACCCTAAACCCTAAACCCATCCTAAACCCTGAGCCCAAAACTCTCTCTAAACCCTAAACCCTAAACCACAGCAGCCACGGTCCTGAAGCGCATTGCACATGCGACGAACCCCGCAAGAGTTGCAGTTTAGGGTTTAGGGTTTAGGGTTTAGGGTTTAGGGTTTAGGGTTTAGGGTTTAGGGCTTCCGCCTCTTGCCCATTCCTGGCCGTCCTGTGGCCTTGCGGCTGGTTTTCGCTTCGGAGGGTCCCGAGAGGCGCTTCTGCTGCCCGATCCGCCGACCCGGATGACCACCGGCGCGGCCGCCAAAATCCTCTGGAAGCCGTCTCTGGGCCGAGGTTTTAGTTATTGTTTTTTTTTTTTTGGGGGGGGGGGGGGGGGCCTTCAGCTGCCCTGACCCACAGGGGGCTGAGCGAAGTCTTGTCTTCATTCTAAGCTCGGGGGTACTTAGGGCGAGAATGCTGTTGAATAGGACATGGGGGTTGAGAGGTTTTGGTGCTGCTGCGTTTTCGGGGCATGCCTGGTTCTCTCGCTCTCCAAGAAAATTGTGTGCTTGCGCGCTGTAGGGAGTTTAGGGTGGAGGGTTTAGAATGGTTTAGAGTTCAGCTATCGCACCTTGTTTCAACGGCGGTTGCCCAAGGCTGTCGATGCTGCCGGACAAGATGAGGGATGCCGTGCTGTACAAGTTGACTTGGAGTGGGCCCTCGCCCATTGGACTGTCCTGATTGGGGATGGTTCTGAGCAGTTTTACAAGGCTTAGTTTTAGGGTTTGGGGGGCATAGCTCCCCTGCGGTCTGCCTGGCGAAGTCACGGCGGCTGATTTTTCCTGTAGCTCGTTGACGGGAGCGCAGCAAGACCTTGCCGAGGAGTCAAACAGGCCCTAAGCCCTAAACCCTAAATCCTAACCCCTAAAGCTTAAACCCTAAACCCTGACCCTAAACCCTAAACCCCAAACCCCAAACCCTAAACCCTTCCAAAGCAGCGGTTCATCCCCACAAGCCCTTAACCCCAAATTGGGCGCGTTGTGGAGTCGAGCGCCGCAGCAGTAGGGCTCGGAGACTCTAGCTTTGGGACGCCCTGCGCTCCGTTAACATGCGGGGCACTCAGTGTGTCCTCTTCACTGAGTTGCCAGAACAGGGAGATCATGGGTCCCCCCACCCCCCCCAGGTTGCCTCCCTTAAAAAACCTCAATTAGGCTTAATTCTCCCTAAACAGCCTTAAAATGGGGGGAGCGGAGGGGAACCCATGAGGATACCTAGAGACCAAAGTGGTTTCCTGATGATGGCAGCCTTGACACTTGGCTTAAGTTCCTGAGCTAAAGCCCAGGATCCGCCTTAAACAATGCTTTCGCACACCCGGAACCTGCTCTCCGAAAGTCCAACACCAGTGACTCGTTGCACCGTGCAGGCTCGAGCCCGGCTGTCAGGGCCACCTACTCCGCTGTGAACCCCTAAACCCTCAACCCCAAACCCCAAACCCTAAACCCTCAACCTCGTCCTGGACTCTAGGCCCTAAACTCAAACGCTTACCCCAAACCCCAAACCCCAAACCCTCAACCCTAAACCCTAAACCCTCAACTGGTAGCATGTAAAGGGCCTCGGTCGGGGGCCCGTCGGGACCCCAAACAGGTCCAAAGATGAGGCAGAAGACGAGTCGAAAGACGCCACGGAGCCCAAGCAGGAGGCGGGTTCACGTTTTTTTTGGGCCATTCTTCGTACCCCAAAAGTGCAGTTCCATACGACTGGGGGGTTGGGGGAATCCCAAAAAGTGAGCTGCATTTCGAATCTCCTAGCTGGGGGTTTCCGCGAGCTGTTTCATTGTTCATTTGGGCTTGTGGCTTGGAGTCATCGTAGAGCTTAGGGCCTCAAACCCTATAAACCCTAAACCCTAAACCCTAAACCCTAAACCCGAAACCCCGAACCCTAAACCCTAAGCCTTCAACTCTTCGGAATCCTGTTCGGATTGTCAGGGTCGAGTTGCCACTTGGTTCTGGGCTCCCAGTGAAAGCTTGCAAGGTCCAGGTTGCCCAGTGACCTTAAAGCCCGGACCCTAAACCCTGGAGCCTCAAAACCCCGAAGCCCAAACCCTAAAACTTGAGGTGTGAGCCTACCCTCTGATTGCACCCTAAACCCTAAACCTTGAATCCGAAACCCTCGACCCTGAACCCGAAGCCCTAAACCTGCTCCGTATGCCGTCGGCGCTCCCCAGAAAAGGCTGGCGACCAGCCCGCTCCCGAAGAGCCAGAGCCGGAGGACGAGGGGCTTGAAGGGGTGTAGGGTTTCGGGTTTGGGGGTTAGGGTCTCAGGTTTAGGGTTTAGGGCTTATTGTTTCGGGCTTAGGGCATAGGGTGTAGGGCTGAGAGTTTGGGAAGGAAGCTTAGGGTTAAGGGCTTAGGGGACTCCTCAAGGAGTTTTCCCTAAATCATATCGGGAATCCCCCTAAATGCAGTTTTAGGGAAGGTTCCTTGATTCAGTGATGAGAACCCTAATTTGGGTCATTTCGTGGAGGGCTTCCCCAGCAAACCCCTAGGCCAGAAGCATGCGCTTTGAACCCCAGGGCCGTTAACCCGAAACCCCAAAAGTCCAAACCCCTAGGCCCCTAAACCCTCTTTGAGGTTTCAAGCACCATGCAGGACCGACTCACCCCTGTCCTCAGAATGATGGAAGGCGGGCCCATGGAGATCATAACGGACTCTCACCCTGAACCCTAAACCCAAACTCTAAACCCTGAACCTTAGACCGTAGGCACCTCCCAGGCTCGAAATGTCCTAAACCCCCCAAGTCTCTTCAGTCCCCAAGTAGGGTTCGGGGCTTAGGGTCTTAGGCTCTTGTTGCAAGGTAGGTCCCGAAACTGGGAGAGAGCTCGAGTCGTCGCGGTCAATTGTTTCGCAGTGCAAGGCGGAGTTTCTTTTTTTTGTTTATTAATATTTCTAACTTTGCTTGTGTTTTTTTCAAACAAAATACTGAACCCTTAAACCCTAGTTCCCTACAAGACCCTGAGCCCTACCCCCGAACCCTTAAAACCCCCAAGCCCCGAAGAGCTCGCCTTCCGACCAGGGAGCAACTTCGACGCGGCCATCAAGGCGCTGCTGAAGATGCTGAAGGCTCGGGGCTTGTAAGCAAAGGTTGGGATGTTCCCCCTTATACCAACAGTCCTTGATAGGGTTTCTAGCACCCCCCCCTAGTATAATCCCTACTGAGGACTGTTAGTGTAAGGGGGAACATCCCAAGCTAGATGGCTTAGCGTGTAGGGTTCAGGGTTTACGATGAGCGGCGATTCGCCAGGCCCCTAATTGCATCACCATGTGCTTGGCATCACCCCACCTTCCCAGAGTCCCTTTCCGTGTTGAATTCTACATCCATTTGTCTTATATACTTCCTCCTTCATGAAGACGGTTTTCTAGCAGGGTCCCATGAAGCCTGACGGGTCTCAGGTTTCATGGATGAAAGGTGGGGGGGGCGGGGATCCCGAAATGTAGCCCTGAACCGAGTTAGGGTGTAGGGGCTTGAAAAGGGAACATGGGTCCGCTACACCACCCCTGCTTCCCTACACAACCCTGAAGCCTAAACCCTAAACCCGAACCCTAAACCCTAAACCCTAAACCCTAAACCCTAAACCCTAAACCTTAAACCTTAAACCCTGAAGCTTTCGTTGGAGGAAGACCCAAACGATTCGGTGGTGCTGCACAACCTGGGTGTGGCCTTCACCGAAGAAGGCCATGAAAGCCCCGGTCAGTCGCAGATGTAGAAGCTAGACGAAGGTAGGGCTTAGGGTTTAGGGTTTAGGGTTTAGAGTTTAGGGTTTAGGGTTTAGGGCTTAGGGCTTAGGGCTTAGGGCTTAGGTGTTGCGGGGTCGACCCAAGTCATGGGCCCTTGCGGGCGCGGATGGAAGCTGCCCCAAGTTGCCACGGAGGCCTTCAGCCCCTTTACCGTCTCCTTATTGTGTATGCCCGAGACCCAAAACCCTAAACCCTAAACCCTAAACCCTAAACCCTAAACCCTAAACCCTAAACCCTAAACCCCAAACCCTAAACCCTAAACCCTAAACCCTGAACCTTAGGCCGGTATTGAACGTAGGGGCTTAGGGCCTTAGGATTTGAAATCTTGGTTAGTTCTATCAGGGCTCCCTCAACAGGTCATAGCCTTGAGAAGGGGCTCGAAAGACACCTGTATAGACTGTCCCGTTCAGGGTCCTCAAACCTGGGCACCCCTAAGCGCCTCAACCCGCAGCTCCTTGCAACGAAGCCCTGCCCCTAAACCCTAAACCCTCAACCCTAAACCCTAAACCCTAAAGCCTAAACCCTAAACCCTAAACCCTAAACCCTATGATGACCCTGAACCCTAAACCCTAAACCGTAAGCCCCAGACCCAAAACCCCAAAGCCTAAAAACCCTAAACCCTAAACCCTGAGCCCCAAACCCTTAGCCTCAAACCCGCAAACACTCCCCGAACCGCAGTCCAGGCTTGGCTTGGCTTGGGGTTTAGGGTTTGGGGTTTAGGGTTTAGGGTTTAGGGTTTGGGGTTTAGGGTTTAGGGTTTAGGGTTTAGGGTTCGGGGCGGGCTCCCGCCGGAGGCAGGTACCAGGAAGCTGAGGAGAAGTTCCTGCAGGCGGGTTGTTCAGGGGTGTCGGGTTGGTTTAGGGGCTTTGATGGGGGTCTGGGGTTTAGGATTTAGGGCTGAAGGGGGCTTTGGCCCTAGCCCTAAACCCTAAACCCTCAACCCGAGACCCTAAACCCTCCAATTAGAGGGTCCCACAGGCCAGTGGCCCAGGGCCGAGGGTTCGGAGCCCGAAGCAATATGGACCTTTTTGACCCTGGAATCCCCAGCTTTAAACACCTGCCAAGCCGAAGGGACGGGTTTGTAGGGTGCAGGGTTTAGGGTCAGGGTTAGGGTATGTTAGGGTGAGGGTTAGGGTTTAGGTTTAGGGTTTAGGGTTTGGGGTTTGGGGTTTGGGGTTTAGGGTATCCTCGCCGGCACGTAAGGGTTCTAGGGTTCAGGGTTTGGGAGTCTTAAAGAGGCTGTTGCCACCCGGGCATTTTTATGTCTCGCAAACGTTGTGCACACGTGGGGTCCGACAAGAAGAGGTCTTCGAGGAACATTCGCCTTTTTTTGTTTTTTTCATTTGTAGGGACGCCAAGCTGCAACACCTGACCCTGAGACCCGAACCCCTCAATAACTCCGGACCCTTGAAAAATCATGCTTCCAGGCCTGGGAAGTGCAGAAAGGCGCGAGCAAGGCGGGTTCTGCGTTTTTCCGGGGCATAGGATCCCAAGACAAGTCCCCCCAAGAATTCAGGGTTTTGGGCTTGGGGTTCAGGGCTTAGGGTGTAGGCTTTGCGTTTTTTTGATATTAGGCAGTTGTTTTTATTGGATATTCGGCCTCTTAAGTCTGGTTAAGGTCTTTCTTGTCCAAGGTCGGGCCTTGGGCTTGAGATTTCCGACCTCAGACTGTTTGGGATCGGAGAAATGGATTTTGGGCACTGGGGTTTCGGGTTTAGGGTGATGAAAGGCGCACTCAACCCCAAACTTACAGCACCTCCCACAGCAATGGGTTCAGACACCCAAGCCCTAAACACTAAACCCTAAATGTTTAAGCCCAGACCCTAGACGCAAGGTCAACTACGCGACCATGTTCGGCTTGGCCACAGTTCTGACTGAGCAAGGCCCTGTGTACGCCAAGCTGGGGTCTGGGGTCTTGGGCGTAGGCTTTAAGTTGCTGAAGGTTTATGGGGCGTACGTGAGAGGTTCCAGAGCTAGCTTGCCCAAGAGCCCCCGAAGAGCGCTTTGGCCACAACCAAAGAAATCCCCTTTGCTTGCTCTTCAACCCTGACCCCCTCTGAACCCGAAAGATTGACACCTACAACCGAAAACATTAAACCCCCAAAAGCCGGAAACCACCTTGGCAGGTGAGACAGGCAAGCTGCTCCAAGCCGAGGCACAGTCCATCTGCTGCTTTCCGTGTTCTTTTTTTTTTTTGGGGGGGGGGGGGGGGGTCTAAAGCTTAGGGCCCTAAACCCCTAAATCCCTAAATCCCTAAATCCCTAAACCCCTAAACCCCTAAACCCCTAAACCCCTAAACCCCTTAACCCCTAAACCCTAAACCCCTAAACCCCTTAAACCCCTAAAACCCCTAAAACCCCTAAACCCCCTAAACCCCTAAACCCCTAAACCCCTAAACCCCTAAACCCCTAAACCCTAAACCCCTAAACCCCTAAACCCCTAAACCCCTAAACCCCTAAACCCCTAAACCCCTAAACCCCTAAACCCCTAAACCCCTAAACCCCTAAACCCCTAAACCCCTAAACCCCTAAACCCCTAAACCCCTAAACCCTAAACCCCTAACCCCTAAACCCCTAAACCCCTAAACCCCTAAACCCCTAAACCCTTTAGGGCCATTTAGGGTTGCGGGTTTCGCTCAGGGTTGTTCTGTCTTGACCCTTGCATTCTGCGAGGCTCTCTTTCACGACTTCCTGGAAAAGGCGATCTCTCAGGCTATCTGGACGTACTTCCTAATCCCCAAAGCCTCAACCCGAAACCATGAAAGTTTAGGGTTTAGGGTTTAGGGTTTAGGGTTTGGGGTTTAGGGGAGCCCAAAAACCCAAGAACCCGAAGCCCTAAACCCTCATCCCTAGACCGTGAGCCCGGGTTTCGGGAAGGTAATTCAGTGAAGCTCCCCCAATTTAGACCGCCCTTCTGGATTTGGGCCCAGAGTCCGGGCCCCAGTCTCAGAGAATCTTCGATAGAGTACACTTCCCTAAGCAGTAAACCCTAAAACCCTAAAACCCTAAACCCTAAACCCTCAACCCTCAACCCTCAACCTTCAACCCTCAACCCCAAACCCTAAGACCTAAACCCTCAACCCTGAACCCTAAGCCCCAAACCCAACTTCAGCCATGTTGGCTCCTCAGCCATGTTGGCGCCTCAAGCCCACTTGGCCCTTCCCGCCTTGCCACCGCCGCCCCGGCCCACCCGCTTGGGAGGCCCAGCGAGGACGGAGGGGTGGGGCCCTGGGTGTAGGGTTTAGGGTTTAGGGTTTAGGGTTTAGGGTTTAGGGTTTAGAGTTCCAAGTATGGGCCCTTACAGTAATATTCTACAGCCGTAAAGGCGCTATACATAACAAGGGCCCATACTTCGCCTGAGAGCTCAGGCTTTGTCGGTCTTTCGTACATGAGCAGTGTAGTTTGAGGTCTCGAGGAGCAGATAAATCGTTGCCCGCCGCCGGCCCACGGAAGCTTCACATTGGCGCCGAAACCCAGTTTCAAGGGTTTAGGGTTTAGGGTTTAGGGTTTAGTGCTCGAGAGCCGACCCGGAACCGAAACAGGAGCCTCCGCCCAAGCTCCGGCACTCGGGGCGCATCTCGGCGCGGGTTGGAGGCAGTTGAGGGTTTACCTTGGAGGTTTAGGGTTTAGGGTTTAGGGTTTAGGGTTTAGGGTTTAGGGTTTAGGGTTTAGGGTTTAGGGTTTAGGGTCCTAAGTAGGGTAGGGGGTTGAGGGCGAAAAGCAGTACTGGCCCGTCTGGGCTGGTTATCATAACCCCATCTGAGGCGAAGCTGTATCCTTACTTTCAGCTCCGGATAGGAGCCCTAAACCCTCAACCCTAAACCCTAAACCCTGAACCCTACACCCTAAACCCAAAACCCTAAATCCTAAAACCCTACACCCTAAACCCTCAGCCTAAACCCCAAACCCAACCCCATCTTGGTTCTCGGGGACCGTCTTGGCGCAGGGTAGAAACCCGACCCGAAGGCCCACATGACGGGGGTGGCCTGGGTGGGATCGCTTTCAAAGGAAAGGCGCGGGGTGGCGTCCGCTTTAACCCCTTAGGGTTTAGGGTCTAGAGTTTAGGGTCCCCACGGAAAAGTCACAGTGGAAGGGAAGCTGGTTGTTTCTCTCTTTAAACGATCCACGGTTTATGTGATACCTATGAGGGCACGCGGCACGAGTCACACGGTCTTGAATAGCCCGGCTAACTTGACTTGTGAACCGGGCACCGGTACTACAGCACGTCCAACATTAAGCCCCTAAACCCTAAATTCCTAAACCCTAATCCCGAATCCCTAAACCCTAAACCCTAAACCCTAGATCCTAAACCCTAAGCCCTAACCCTAAACCCTAAACTCTAAACCCTAAGCCACCCTCCACCAATCATACGGTCCGGAGGTCTTGAAGGCGGCATCCGCAGGCCGACGCGGGGCAATGAAAGGCCGGGCAGACTAAAGTCCCCAAGTTTTCAGGGTTTAGGGTTTCGGATTTCGGATTTGGAGTTTCGGGTTTAGGGTTTAGGGTTTGGGTTTAGAGGTTCAGGCTCAAGGGTTTGTGGGTTCAGGGTGAAGCGGTGCCAGGGTGCCTGGTTCAGCATTTTCGGTTTGAGTCCCTGCACTTCCTGGAAAAGCCCCCAAAAACCCTAAACCCCGAAAACGCTAAAACTAAAACCCCTAAACCCGTTAACCCTAAACGACCTAAACCCTAAACCCTAAACCCTAAACCCTAAACCCTAAACCCTAAACCCTAAACCCTAAACCCTAAACCCTAAACCCTGGACTCCCCCAAATCCGAAGCACCCGACCTGCACACCTGTTTGTTTATTGTTTTTTGCGGGAGGGGGGGGGGTCTCAGGATGCATGGGGATCCTTTCCCACTCTGCAACCGCTGAGGTTCAGGGTCTAGAGCTTAGGGTTCAGGCTTTAGGGTTCAGGGTTTAGGGTTTTGCGTTTGGGGTTCAGGGGGCGCGCGCGCGCACACCAGCCAGAGCCCAGGTACAGATGGCAAAGACGGGGGCGCTTTGAAGAATCTGCATGGCAGGCGCTTCCGATGGCCCATTTGTTGTGTTGGGGGCAGAGTCTGAGGTCCTAAGTCCCAAGTCCAAACCCTGAGCCGTAAAATTCCTGCCTAGCCCCTGAAGCTTTTCAGCCCTCAAACCCAAACCCAAACCACCCTTCACCCCCCTACACCTTAAATACACCCTAAGCCCTAAGCCGTACGCCCTAAGCCCTAAGCCCTAAGCCCGAAGCCCTAAGCCCTAAGCCCTAAGCCCTAAGCCCTACGCCCTAAGCCCTAAGCCCTAAACCCTAAACCCTATAAGCCCTAAGCCCTAAGCCCTAAGCCCTAAACCCTAAACCGTAAACCCTAAACCCTAAACCCTAAACCCTAAACCTCAAACAAGCCCTAAGTCTTAAACCCCTCAGCAGGACCGAGCTGGCCCTGGACGTCTTCTTCTTCGTGTCGGTGCAGGTCCTCTTCAGGCCTTCCAGGGTCTTGTTGTGGGTGTAGGTTCGACCCTGTTTAGGGTTTAGGGTTTAGGGTTTAGGGTTTAGGGTTTAGGGCTAAACCTTAACTTTGTGGTGCTTTACTATAACTTTAGATCCTTAGCCCTTTTGGGTTTATTGGGTTTCTGAGTAAGGCAGCTAAAAACTAAGTACATAGCTACCCAAGCTCTAAGCCCCAACTCCACAAAACTTGGGGTTGAGAGTGAATGGTTGAGTGAAGGGTTGCAGGTTTTGAGGTGTAGAGTCGGTGTCCGTAAGCCCTGAACCTATGCAAACCCTTGGAGGGACCCTTAGCGAGCCCCTGGTCGAGGAAACTGGGCTGCACCAACGCTAACACCTGCGCGCTGCCCTGGGTGGTGACGGCGGCCAGGGGATTCTTTGCCCGCGGCCCAGGGTTAAGGGTTCAGGGGTTAGGGTTCGGGGTTTAGGGTTTGTGTGGGTTCCCTATGTGTAGGGTTTATATTGGAGTTAACTTGGTCTTATTTTCGGGTTTATATTGGGGTCTATATTAGGGTGAAGATGAAGGTGTACATTGCAGAGGGTTTATTTGGTGGATTATGTAGGGGTTCGCAGGTCTTTTTTTGTTTTTGTTGGGTTATCTTAAGGTGCACATGAGGGTTTATACAGGGTGTATATTGGGGTTCAGGGATCCATACAGTCACCGCCTCTTGCGGCTGGGTCCTTTGGTCTTCAAGGTTAGGACCCCAGGCCCTAAGCCCTCGATTCATCAAGAGGTGCAAGGTTGCCTAAACCCTAAACCCTAAACCCAAAACCATGAACCCTGAACCCAAACCCTAGTTTCTCCGTATTGGCTTGACATAGTGTCAAAGCAAGTGGTGAACATTTTAGCATTCGGCCAGCACGCGCGACCCGTCTCAGTTTAAATCTCTAACCGCATCAGTTGAAGGCGCATGGTGAGCTTACGAAACCCGAGTTTCGGGCCTGAAGCAGCCAAGCCCCAAACCTCTGGTGGAGGGTTTAGGGTTTGGGGTTGCGGGTTTAGTGCCTAAAAAGCTGGGATCCCCGGCCGAAAGCCCAAAAAGCAAGAACTGAGAACAAGGCGATGTTTGAATGAGCAAAAAATGCTCACATTTCGAGACAAAGTCTTGAGATCTGATTCCGGGTGCTTCGTGGACGCGCCGGTACGGAAAGACGAATTTTGGTACCTTCGCTGCGACATCGGCTTAAGCATCGGATGCAGGCGCAGAAGGGCACGCAGACAACGCCAGGAAGCACGAAAAAGTGGCTGGCGCGATGCGACAGCAGACTTGCCGCAGGACAGGCGGTCTTCGTCTACGCATCCTAAACCCTATAAACCTTGACCTAAGAACCGAACCCTAAGCCCTAAGCCCTAAGCCCTAAGCCCTAAACCCGGTCCCACTCCAGGTTCTCTTCAACCTCTGTTTCATGGGCACCTACACAAGGCTGCTGAGCCGTGCCCGGCAAAGGCCGTCCACGCCCGAAATTGCGCAGGAGGGGGTTGGGCTTAGGGCTCAGGGCTGAGGGTTTAGGGATTAGGGTTTAGGGTTTAGGGGTTTAGGGTGTTTAGAGTGTTTAGGGTGTTCATCAAGTCCACTGCCAAGAAATAGAGGGTCAAAACCCTCACGATAGCAACCCCTCCCCCCTAAGCCGCGGCCGAATCGCCCAGCTGACCTCTTAAACCCTCAGACCCTGAACCCAAACCCGGAACGCAACCCTAAACCCTAAGCCCTAAGCCCCTAAACCCTAAACCCTAAACCCTAAACCCTAAACCCTAAACCCTAAACCCTAAACCCTAAACCCTAAACCCTAAACCCTAAACCCTAAACCCTAAACCCTAAACCCTAGGCCCGAAGCGCCCCTCTTGAGCCTGATTCCAGGACATCACGATCATGGAGGGAAAGAGGCGAAAGGCTGGGGCGGCTCAAGGGTTTTGGGATTGGGGTGTTCGCGTTTAGGGTTTAGGGGTTTAGTGGTTTAGGGTTTAGGGGTTTAGGGGTTTAGGGGTTTAGGGGTTTAGGGGTTTAGGGGTTTAGGGGTTTAGGGGTTTAGGGTTTAGGGTTTAGGGCTTACGGTTTACGGGTTTAGGGTTTATTGTTTACGGATTGGGGTGTTAGGGTTTCGGCTTCGAAGGTTGAGGGTTTAGGGCTTGGATCTTAGGAAGCGCGGGGGAAGGGTGGTGTAGCAGTCCTCCGAACCAAGATGTTTCATCCTCGTTATCAAGTAAAAAGTTCTTGAATACGGGGTAAACGGGGTCTCTGCGAGCTTGACACGGGGAAAAAAAGGTTCTGACATCATTCCTTTCGGGCCTTGGTCGGGTCTTGTGGCCGCGCAGGGTTTGTTTGTTGGCGATGAGGTTGTTGGTTTAGGCTTTTGGTTTTTTGGTTCTAGCTTCGGTTTTCAGGATTAGGGTTTTTGGGTTTCGGGCTTAGGCTAGAGGCATAGGGTTACTTTGCGTGGAATCTGCTGAGAATGTGAAGGCTGCGATGAAGATCACGGTGCTACTTCTGCTGCACGTCACTGGGCAGCTTGACCCCCCCGCCCCCGCCCCGAATCCGCCCTCCTGTTACCCCAAAGCCCGTAATCAACCCTCAACCCCAAACCCTTAAACCCTTAAACCCTCAACCCTAAAGACCCAAAACTTGAGATGTTCCCCGTATACCAACAGTCCTTAATAGTAGGGGCCCATTCAGGACGGTAGTATAAGGGTGATCATCCCAACCCCAAACCCTGAACCTTCTTCCCATCGTTCTCTCTGCTCCCGAGGTCTCGCTGGGCCTGGTCGCTCCGCTAGTGACGAGCTGTCTAATTACCACCGTGGCCTTCCCTTTCTGGTGGGATCGTAAGGCCTCCATGTTGCTCAAGTACTGGTAGGGTTCAGGTTTAGGGTTTAGGGTTTAGGGTTTTGGATTTAGGGTTGAGGGTTTGGGCTTAGAGTTGGGGGGTTGCTTAGGTGGGTTTTCTCATGCAACAAGGGCTTGCGACTGCAGCAGTGCGCGCCAGGAATATTTAAGCTGCTGCCGCAAGTCCTAGTTGTTGGCGGAGGGGCAAAAAGAGCACAGCTGCAAGGGCTCGCTAAACCCTAAACCCTAAACCCTGAACCCTAAACCCTCGACCCTAAACCCTAAATCCTAAACCCGAAACCCTGGACCCTAAACCCTAAACCCTAAACCCCAAAGCCTAAACCCTAAACCCTAAACCCTAAACCCTAAACCCTAAACCCTAAACCCTAAACCCTAAACCCTAAACCCTAAACCCTAAACCCTAAACCCTAAACCCTGAACCCTGAACCCTGAACCCTAAACCCTAAACCCTGAACCCTGAACCCTAAACCCCTCCACCTGTCAACGCCAACCCAGAGACGAACCTTCTCCCTTGGCCGCCCACCGGCTGTAGCCCTCAACGTCCCCCCCAGCCCCCAAAGGAGCCACCTAGCCTGACATACTGGAAATGCAAACCCCCCAAACCGGGGGGTTGTGCATCAGTGCTTGGGCCTCTATACCCCAAGCCTCGACCCTATTTTAGACCCTAAACCCCTAAACCCTAAACCCTAAGGCTTGAATCCCTAAGCCTAATCCCCAAAACCTACAGCCGAAACCCGTAAAACCGATACCCCCAAAAAGCCGAATTACGCCCTTTGCAGGAAGAGAAAGGCATTCCAGAGACCTACCGGGGCTTTGTGGGCCTGTGCCTTAGGATTTCGGCTTTAGTTCGGGTTTAGGGTTCAGGGAGTAGGGTTTAGGGTTTAGGGTTTAGGGTTTAGGGCTTAGGTGGGGATAAGCGTTTAGGTTGGCACAGCGCCAGTTGCCAGGAGATTGATTCTAGGGCTCTTGAGGGAGCCTATGGGGAGCCGCGGGGCATGGTACGGAGTGTTCGTGTTACATACTTCCTTGAACCCCGACCCTATAAGGAGACCCCAAATTCCTAAGCCCTCAACCCTGAGCCCTAAAGAATGAATGGGAGAGGTTTAGGGTTCCTAGCGCTTGCAGTTTAAGTTTGGGGGTTGACGAGGGTTTTGGGTTTTGGGTTGTAGAGTCTGTTTTGGGGCTGTTCTGGTTCAGAGGTTGGAAGGGTTTAGGGCGTTGGAGTTCAGGGTTCGGAAGGGTTTTGGGTCTTAGAGCTTTGGTCGAAAAAGGGCTGAGGTTTCAGTTCGAAGTGTCAGGGTTGAATGAGGGTTGAGGGTTCAGGGTAGTGGAAGGTTCCCCCCCCCAAGACCAAGACCCTTTCGCGCTCGCTCCCGGCTGCAGCTGCTTCCAGCCTGTTCGCTCCCCTTCTCGCGTCTGCTTTTGCACCTCTGTCAAAGAGCCATGGCTCCCATGAAGGCAATGAAGGCAATGAAGGCACCAAGAAGACTTTGCAGAGGGTTGGCTCCGGATCTGTTAGGGGTTTTCATTGTGTAGAGGGCTGCGTTTTGCTGTAGAAGGCACAACTGGGCTTCGCTTGTTCCACGCTTGTTGCCGGCTGGAATGCAGGCCATGAAGGCCATGAAGGCCATGAAAGCCATGAAGGCCATGAAGGCAAGCCGGGGCCCTGTGATGAGATTGGACGCCTCGGCTGACAAACTCCTCGTTATCTGACACCTCAAGGGCTAAAAAGGGGTTTGCTGTAGCCCTAAACCCTACACCCTAAGACCTGAAACCCCCAGTACGTCATACCGTCAGGCGATGAAGAGCATGAAGTCCATGAAGAAGGCAGACGACGAGGAGGCTCCTGCCATGAAGAGCATGAAGTCGATGAAGGCCTGGGTTTATGGCAGCTTGCGAGTTCGAGTTCTTAGTAGGGGACTTGGGGGCATGGGCAATGTACATAAACCCAAACCCCTCCAAAAGGGACTATGCAGCTGCATAGTGCCTTCATCTCCCATTTAAGAGCCTGTAAGGGGTGGTAGAGTTGCCTTGTTGCTAGGATGTAGGGTGTGCGGTTTAAATATTTTTACAGAAGCGTTTAGGGTTTCGGGTGTCGGCCCGTGGTGCGCGAGGCTATGAAAGCAATGAAGGCGATGAAGGCCATGAAGGCTTGCTTGCTGCTTTGTGCAACGCTGCTACCCATTCGTGCGGGAGGGGGTGTAAAGGCATTTGAGGGATTCGAGCCTTTGTGCCCGTGGTTGGTGGTGATGCCAGGCCATGAAGGCGATGAAGGCTCGCGCCTATGCTTTTTCCAGAGTCTGCGCTGCTTGCTTGAGCCTTGCTTGAGCACTGGTTGACGCAGCGGTCTCGTGAGAGTTTCAGGCGATGAAAGCGATGAAGGCAATGAAGTGAGCTGTTTTGTCCCGCGGGATTCCGATGGCTGCTGCGCAGGGCATCATTCGAGGTCCATAGGGCCTGTGTCAGCACTGCTGCAATCGACAGCCGAAGTTTGTGCAGAGAAGATTTGCTCAGGTCTGGGCAGCCCCAAGCCCAAACCCTCAACCCTAAGCCCATCTAAGCCCTAAATGGTGAATAGGGTTGCTAGAGCTTGCAGTTTAAGTTTAGGGGTTGACGAGGGTTTAGGGTTTTGGGTTGCAGAGTTTGTTTTGGGCTGTTTTTGTTTAGAGGCTAGAAGGGTTCAGGGTGTTGGAGTTCAGGGTTCGGAAGGGCTTTGGGTTTTAGAGCTTTGGACGAAAAAGGGCTGAGGTTTCAGTTCGACATGTCAGGGTTGAATGAGGGTTGAGGGTTCAGGGTAGTGGAAGTTTTGCCCCCCCCCCAAGACCCTTTCGCGCTCGCTCCCGGCTGCAGCTGCTTCCAGCCTGTTCGCTCCCCTTCTCGCGTCTGCTTTTGCACCTCTGACAAAGAGCCATGGCTCCCATGAAGGCAATGAAGGCAATGAAGGCACCAAGAAGACTTTCCATAGGGTTGGCTCAGGATCTGTTAGGGGTTTTCATTGTGGAGAGGGCTGCGTTTTGCTGTAGAAGGCACAACTGGGTTTCGCTTGTTCCACGCTTGTTGCCGGCTGGAATGCAGGCCATGAAGGCCATGAAAGCCATGAAAGCCATGAAGGCCATGAAGGCAAGCGGGGGCCCGGGCATGAGATTGGACGCCTCGGCTGACGAACTCCCTCGTTCTCTGAAACCTCAAGGGTCAAAGAGGGTTTTGCTGTAGCCCTAAACCCTACATCCTTAAGCCCGAAACCCCCAGTACGTCATACCGTCAGGCGATGAAGAGCATGAAGTCCATGAAGAAGGCAGACGACGAGGAGGCTCCTGCCATGAAGAGCATGAAGTCGATGAAGGCCTGGGTTTATGGCAGCTTGCGAGTTCGAGTTCTTAGTAGGGGACTTGGGGACATGGGCAACGTACATCAATCCCCTGCAAAAGGGACGATGCAGCTGGCATAGTGCTTTCATCTCCCATTTAAGAGCCTGTAAGGGGTGGTAGAGTTGCCTTGTTGCTGGGATGTAGGGTGTGCGTTTTAAATATTTTTGAAGAGGGGTTTAGGGTTTCGGGTGTCGGCCCGTGGTGCACGAGGCTATGAAAGCAATGAAGGCGATGAAGGCCATGAAGGCTTGCTTGCTGCTTTGTGCAACGCTGCTACCCATTCGTGAGGGAGGAGGTGTAAAGGCCTTTGAAGGATTCGAGCCTTTGTGCCCGTGGTTGGTGGTGATGCCAGGCCATGAAGGCGATGAAGGCTCGCGCCTATGCTTTTTCCAGAGTCTGCGCTGCTTGCTTGAGCCTTGCTTGAGCACTGGTTGACGCAGCGGTCTCGTGAGAGTTTCAGGCGATGAAAGCGATGAAGGCAATGAAGTGAGCTGTTTTGTCCCGCGGGATTCCGATGGCTGCTGCGCAGGGCATCATTCGAGGTCCATAGGGCCTGTGTCAGCACTGCTGCAATCGACAGCCGAAGTTTGTGCAGAGAAGATTTGCTCAGGTCTGGGCAGCCCCAAGCCCAAACCCTCAACCCTAAGCCCATCTAAGCCCTAAATGGTGAATAGGGTTGCTAGAGCTTGCAGTTTAAGTTTAGGGGTTGACGAGGGTTTAGGGTTTTGGGTTGCAGAGTTTGTTTTGGGCTGTTTTTGTTTAGAGGCTAGAAGGGTTCAGGGTGTTGGAGTTCAGGGTTCGGAAGGGCTTTGGGTTTTAGAGCTTTGGATTTGCTCGAAACAGGGCTGAGGTTTCAGTTCGAAGTGTCAGGGTTGAATGAGGGTTGAGGGTTCAGGGTAGTGGAAGTTTTGCCCCACCCCCCCCCCCCCCAAACCCTTTCGCGCTCGCTCCCGGCCGCAGCTGCTTCCAGCCTGTTCGCTCCCCTTCTCGCGTCTGCTTTTGCACCTCTGACAAAGAGCCATGGCTCCCATGAAGGCAATGAAGGCAATGAAGGCACCAAGAAGACTTTCCATAGGGTTGGCTCAGGATCTGTTAGGGGTTTTCATTGTGGAGAGGGCTGCGTTTTGCTGTAGAAGGCACAACTGGGTTTCGCTTGTTCCACGCTTGTTGCCGGCTGGAATGCAGGCCATGAAGGCCATGAAAGCCATGAAAGCCATGAAGGCCATGAAGGCAAGCGGGGGCCCGGGCATGAGATTTGGACGCCTCGGCTGACGAACTCCCTCGTTCTCTGAAACCTCAAGGGTCAAAGAGGGTTTTGCTGTAGCCCTAAACCCTACATCCTTAAGCCCGAAACCCCCAGTACGTCATACCGTCAGGCGATGAAGAGCATGAAGTCCATGAAGAAGGCAGACGACGAGGAGGCTCCTGCCATGAAGAGCATGAAGTCGATGAAGGCCTGGGTTTATGGCAGCTTGCGAGTTCGAGTTCTTAGTAGGGGACTTGGGGACATGGGCAACGTACATCAATCCCCTGCAAAAGGGACGATGCAGCTGGCATAGTGCTTTCATCTCCCATTTAAGAGCCTGTAAGGGGTGGTAGAGTTGCCTTGTTGCTGGGATGTAGGGTGTGCGTTTTAAATATTTTTGAAGAGGGGTTTAGGGTTTCGGGTGTCGGCCCGTGGTGCACGAGGCTATGAAAGCAATGAAGGCGATGAAGGCCATGAAGGCTTGCTTGCTGCTTTGTGCAACGCTGCTACCCATTCGTGAGGGAGGAGGTGTAAAGGCCTTTGAAGGATTCGAGCCTTTGTGCCCGTGGTTGGTGGTGATGCCAGGCCATGAAGGCGATGAAGGCTCGCGCCTATGCTTTTTCCAGAGTCTGCGCTGCTTGCTTGAGCCTTGCTTGAGCACTGGTTGACGCAGCGGTCTCGTGAGAGTTTCAGGCGATGAAAGCGATGAAGGCAATGAAGTGAGCTGTTTTGTCCCGCGGGATTCCGATGGCTGCTGCGCAGGGCATCATTCGAGGTCCATAGGGCCTGTGTCAGCACTGCTGCAATCGACAGCCGAAGTTTGTGCAGAGAAGATTTGCTCAGGTCTGGGCAGCCCCAAGCCCAAACCCTCAACCCTAAGCCCATCTAAGCCCTAAATGGTGAATAGGGTTGCTAGAGCTTGCAGTTTAAGTTTAGGGGTTGACGAGGGTTTAGGGTTTTGGGTTGCAGAGTTTGTTTTGGGCTGTTTTTGTTTAGAGGCTAGAAGGGTTCAGGGTGTTGGAGTTCAGGGTTCGGAAGGGCTTTGGGTTTTAGAGCTTTGGATTTGGTCGAAAAGGGCTGAGGTTTCAGTTCGAAGTGTCAGGGTTGAATGAGGGTTGAGGGTTCAGGGTAGTGGAAGTTTTGCCCCCCCCCCAAGACCCTTTCGCGCTCGCTCCCGGCCGCAGCTGCTTCCAGCCTGTTCGCTCCCCTTCTCCCCTCTGCTTTTGCACCTCTGACAAAGAGCCATGGCTCCCATGAAGGCAATGAAGGCAATGAAGGCACCAAGAAGACTTTCCATAGGGTTGGCTCAGGATCTGTTAGGGGTTTTCATTGTGGAGAGGGCTGCGTTTTGCTGTAGAAGGCACAACTGGGTTTCGCTTGTTCCACGCTTGTTGCCGGCTGGAATGCAGGCCATGAAGGCCATGAAAGCCATGAAAGCCATGAAGGCCATGAAGGCAAGCGGGGGCCCGGGCATGAGATTGGACGCCTCGGCTGACGAACTCCCTCGTTCTCTGAAACCTCAAGGGTCAAAGAGGGTTTTGCTGTAGCCCTAAACCCTACATCCTTAAGCCCGAAACCCCCAGTACGTCATACCGTCAGGCGATGAAGAGCATGAAGTCCATGAAGAAGGCAGACGACGAGGAGGCTCCTGCCATGAAGAGCATGAAGTCGATGAAGGCCTGGGTTTATGGCAGCTTGCGAGTTCGAGTTCTTAGTAGGGGACTTGGGGACATGGGCAACGTACATCAATCCCCTGCAAAAGGGACGATGCAGCTGGCATAGTGCTTTCATCTCCCATTTAAGAGCCTGTAAGGGGTGGTAGAGTTGCCTTGTTGCTGGGATGTAGGGTGTGCGTTTTAAATATTTTTGAAGAGGGGTTTAGGGTTTCGGGTGTCGGCCCGTGGTGCACGAGGCTATGAAAGCAATGAAGGCGATGAAGGCCATGAAGGCTTGCTTGCTGCTTTGTGCAACGCTGCTACCCATTCGTGAGGGAGGAGGTGTAAAGGCCTTTGAAGGATTCGAGCCTTTGTGCCCGTGGTTGGTGGTGATGCCAGGCCATGAAGGCGATGAAGGCTCGCGCCTATGCTTTTTCCAGAGTCTGCGCTGCTTGCTTGAGCCTTGCTTGAGCACTGGTTGACGCAGCGGTCTCGTGAGAGTTTCAGGCGATGAAAGCGATGAAGGCAATGAAGTGAGCTGTTTTGTCCCGCGGGATTCCGATGGCTGCTGCGCAGGGCATCATTCGAGGTCCATAGGGCCTGTGTCAGCACTGCTGCAATCGACAGCCGAAGTTTGTGCAGAGAAGATTTGCTCAGGTCTGGGCAGCCCCAAGCCCAAACCCTCAACCCTAAGCCCATCTAAGCCCTAAATGGTGAATAGGGTTGCTAGAGCTTGCAGTTTAAGTTTAGGGGTTGACGAGGGTTTAGGGTTTTGGGTTGCAGAGTTTGTTTTGGGCTGTTTTTGTTTAGAGGCTAGAAGGGTTCAGGGTGTTGGAGTTCAGGGTTCGGAAGGGCTTTGGGTTTTAGAGCTTTGGATTTGCTCGAAACAGGGCTGAGGTTTCAGTTCGAAGTGTCAGGGTTGAATGAGGGTTGAGGGTTCAGGGTAGTGGAAGTTTTGCCCCACCCCCCCCCCCCCCAAACCCTTTCGCGCTCGCTCCCGGCCGCAGCTGCTTCCAGCCTGTTCGCTCCCCTTCTCGCGTCTGCTTTTGCACCTCTGACAAAGAGCCATGGCTCCCATGAAGGCAATGAAGGCAATGAAGGCACCAAGAAGACTTTCCATAGGGTTGGCTCAGGATCTGTTAGGGGTTTTCATTGTGTAGACGGCTGCGTTTTGCTGTAGAAGGCACAACTGGGTTTCGCTTGTTCCACGCTTGTTGCCGGCTGGAATGCAGGCCATGAAGGCCATGAAAGCCATGAAAGCCATGAAGGCCATGAAGGCAAGCGGGGGCCCGGGCATGAGATTTGGACGCCTCGGCTGACGAACTCCCTCGTTCTCTGAAACCTCAAGGGTCAAAGAGGGTTTTGCTGTAGCCCTAAACCCTACATCCTTAAGCCCGAAACCCCCAGTACGTCATACCGTCAGGCGATGAAGAGCATGAAGTCCATGAAGAAGGCAGACGACGAGGAGGCTCCTGCCATGAAGAGCATGAAGTCGATGAAGGCCTGGGTTTATGGCAGCTTGCGAGTTCGAGTTCTTAGTAGGGGACTTGGGGACATGGGCAGCGTACATGAATCCCTTCGATAAACATCTCCAAAAGGGGCTAGGCAGCTGGCATAGTGCTTTCATCTCCCATTTAAGAGCCTGTAAGGGGTTGGTAGAGTTGCCCTGTTGCTAGGATTCAGGGTGTGCGGTTTAAATATTTTTGAAGAAGGGTTTAGGGTTTCGCGTGTCGGCCCGTGGTGCGCGAGGCTATGAAAGCCATGAAAGCGATGAAGGCCATGAAGGCTTGCCTGCTGCTTTGTGCAACGCTGCTACCCATTCGTGAGGGAGGAGGTGTAAAGGCATTTGAGGGATTCGAGCCTTTGTGCCCGTGGTTGGTGGTGATGCCAGGCCATGAAGGCGATGAAGGCTCGCGCCTATGCTTTTCCAGAGTCTGCGCTGCTTGCTTGAGCCTTGCTTGAGCATGGTTGACGCAGCGGTCTCGTGAGAGTTTCAGGCGATGAAAGCGATGAAGGCAATGAAGTGAGCTGTTTTGTCCTGCGGGATTTCGATGGCTGCTGCGCAGGGCATCATTCGAGGTCCATAGGGCCTGTGTCAGCACTGCTGCAATCGACAGCCGAAGTTTGTGCAGAGAAAGAGCGTCTGACATTGGGGCTTCGGCATTTTTCAGATGTGACTTGCTTCTTTCTGCGTCTGGACATGTGTCGTGAGGAAGCGTTTCTCAGAACGGGGTTCGGAACTCGAAGCCGAAACCCTAAAACTTAAGCCTGAACCCCCAAATTACGGTTTCCACTTTGACAACTTTCTGTTCAACCTGAACCTTGAGGGTTCCGAAACCAAGCCCTAGCTAACCTTAAGCCCTCTCATTGAACCTTGCACTAGATCCGCCGAGGTCTGGCAGACAACCTGGAGCGACAGAAGTGCCTTGAGTTAGTTGAGGGACCCCTTCGCGATCCCTTCCGTAACACTTCCCCAAGCAGTCACCCGAGCCTGGAGCAACCCTAAACTCAAACCCGAAACCCTAAACCCTAAACCCTAGACCCTAGACCCTAAACCCTAAACCCCCTAAACCCTAAATCTTTAGCACTGCCTGCCCTCTTTGGGGGTCATGGTTTGCTTCCGGGAGGCTTAGATTTAGAGTTAAGGGCTTTACGGCTTCAGGGCTGTAGAGTTTTGGGGTTTAGGGCTTAGAGCCTAGAGTTTTAGGAATTTGGGGTTTTAGGATTTTAGGGATTCAGGATTAAACAGGGTTCGGAGTTTGGGGCCCTGGGCTTTTGGGTTGGACTCCGGCTTGGCGTCTAGGGTGTTTTGGGGGTTTAGGGGTTTGGGCTGTTTAGGGTTTAGGGTTTGTTTAGGGTTTAGGGTTTAGGGTTTAGGGTTTAGGGCTTAGGGTTTAGGGGTTTGGGCTGTGGAGGGTTGAGAGAGCAGTTTCAGGCTTATTAGGGCCGAGGGTTTTGGGAGGGTTTAGGGTAGAGATGGTTACAACTACGAGTATCCCCAAGGACACCCTATATATACACCCACGAATATTTTTGAGTACAAATAGAGTCACTTGAAAATAACAGAGAGGCTTAGGTTACAGGGCTTTTTAGGGTTTTTATTGGGGTTTTAGGGTTTTGGGCTGTAGGTGAAAACTCTAAAGCCCTAGAGCCCACGAAGCCGTAAAGACCCTAAAGCCCAAAAGCCCACACCTCCTAAACCCTAAACCCTAAACCCTAAACCCTAAACCCTAAACCCTAAACCCTAAACCCTAAACCCTAAACCCTAAACCCTAAACCCTAAATCCTAAATCCTAAACCCTAAACCCTGAACCCTGAACCCTGAACCCTGAACCCTGAACCCTGAACCCTAAACCCTAAACCCTGAACCCCATTCTCCCAAAACCCCAAACCCTAATCCCGGAGAGCGCGGAAGCGCCGGAAGCAACCTTCTTTGGCTGCTGAGAAGTGCATGTGAATGCGGGGCACGCGGCTAGCACGCGGGTTAAGGGTTTGGGGTTTGGTTTAGGGTTTAGAGTTTAGGGTTTAGGGTTACTCAGCAACAACAACCCCCCCCCCCCCCTCCCGTCCGAAACCATCCGAAACCACAAGCCCCAACACCCAAAGACCCCCAAACCCCAAAACCCCAACCGCCCCCATCCGAACCTAAACCCCCGAACTGAGGCGCTGGAGCGAGGCCAGTCAGGCGTGGACACAGGCGCAGACACCACCACCTGAACGGCGTGAGATGTTTCGGTTTGGGGTTTAGGGTTTGGGGGTTTTGGGAGAATTTGGGGAGGTTTAGGGAGGGGTGGGGACAAGTCCAATGGTGTATCTACAAGCGTGGGAGATGCATACAGGAAGCCTTGTACCCCTAAAGGTTCCCCTTAAAATACTCCCAATATGGCCCTTAGACTCTCTTTTGGATCCTTAAAAAGGAACCCCCAAAACCCAAGGGTACAACCTTAAGGGTCCAAGGTAGTTCCTGATGAAGAGTGACAGACGTCTACAGCTCCAACAAGGGTTCAGGGTTCAGGTGTGGCCAAAGATGCGGCTGTCCGCATCTGACTCACAAGAAGCTACGGCTCTCCTACCTGGGGGTTTACGATCATAGGGGATCCCCAAGCTAGACCCCCAAATGGTAGGATTCCCTTTTCATGAGGACCCCAATAGGGTACCCCCCCAATTTCGGAAACCCCCACTTCGAAACCCCACTCGGAGCCCTGAATCTGAATCCCCCGAAAGCCAGAACTCACATCGCTGCCCCGGTCGGCTTCTCCCTTAAGCCTTCACCCTGGAGACGACCCGATCCCACATCACCTCCGTAGACTAAACCCTAAACCCTAAACCTTAAGCCCTAAACCCTAAACCCTAAACCCTAAACCCTCAACCCTCAACCCTCAACCCTCAACCGTCAACCCTCAACCCTCAACCCTAAACCCTGAACCCTAAACCCTAAACCCCTGAGCGGTTTTTGGGTGGGTCTGTTGCCCGCGGGAAGGTCTTGGAGCTAGCGACGCCGATGCCACGGCCCTGGAGCAAACCCGATGGTGCCGATCGGCAGGGATTCGAAAACGGATAGCTGATCAGAGCGTTTGAGTTTAGGGTTTAGGGTTTTGAGTTTAGGGTTTAGGGGTTAGGGGTTTAGGGGTTTAGGGGTTTAGGGGTTTAGGGGTTTAGGGGTTTAGGGGTTTAGGGGTTTAGGGGTTTAGGGGTTTAGGGTTTAGGGGTTTCGGGGTTTGGGGGGTTTGGGGTTTGGGGATCTGCCGGTTGAGGGGTTGAGTGCTTTCGGGGTTTAGGGTTGAGGAGACGATTAGGCATTGGAGGCTGGTGGCCTGAGGGCTTGGTCATAAGGGCTTTGGGGGGGCTTCAGATGTTGAGGTCTCAAAATGCCTGTCGCAGGGGTTGCACCGTCGAGTCGCCAGCTCCCCTATAAACTCCTCATCCCTTGGACCCCTAAACCCTAAACCCCCGAACCCTAAACCCCCTAAACCCTAAACCCTCCCTAAGCCCTAAACCTCCTACCCCCTAAACCCCCTAAGCCTCCCTACACCCCTAAACCCTAAACCTCCCTAAGCCCTCAGCCTCTGTGGATGCAAGGTTCGGCGCCGGTCTGGGGCTCAGATGCCGAACACCCCAAGAAGCCCCTAAACTCCGTCGACCCCGCAGGCCCTAAACGCTGGAATCCTCGACCCTAAACCCTAAACCCTAAACCCTAAACCCTAAACCCTAAACCCTAAACCCTAAACCCTAAACCCTAAACCCTCACTCCTAAACCTTCAACCCTAAACCCAATCCTATAGCCTAAACCCTAACCCTAAACCCTAAACCGGAGATGCCCAAGTGACATTCTCGCCTTCAACCCCGGAGCCTTGGTGCAAGCCCCGAGGCCCTCAATCCCAAATCCTCACCCCGAAGCCGGCAGCCCTAGGGTTTAGGGTTTAGGGTTTAGGGTTTAGGGTTTAGGGTTTAGGGTTTAAACCCCAAACCCCCCAAAGCCCGGACGTGAGGCCACGAGAGAACAGTCGAACACCAGCTTCGACTCAAGCGGGTGCGAAGCTCAGAGCCCAACACCCCAAGAGCCCCCAAAGTTCTGAACGTTCGTCTCATGTACCCTTTCGCCTCTGATGCCTGGCTGCTGCCATGCCCTCACAAGCCTCAAGCCCGAAACCCCAAAACCTCTAAGCCTCTAAGCTTGGGATCTTTGAACTTAGGATGGAGGGGATTGAGGTCAGGGCTTTGGACCCCAAAGCTTTATGACAAACCCTAAAACTGCTTTGGGGCGTCGGGGCTTGAGAGGTTCTTCGGCCCCAGGCCTGGACTGAAGGGCTGAGCTACGGTTTTGGTTTGCCCAGATTTCGCCCTGCAGGCCCATCAAGAGCCCTAAACCCCTAAGCCCACTCAACCCTGAAAATGCTGTAAGTTGAGCGGTCTCCCCGAAACCCTAAACCCTAAACCCTAAACCCTAAACCCTAAACCCTAAACCCTAAACCCTAAACCCTAAACCCTAAACCCTAAACCCTAAACCCTAACCCTAAACCCTCTAAATCCCCTCGGGCCCTGGAATTCCGGTGCGGCTCTCCGGCTGAGGCCCAGCGGCTCGCGCGGTGGCAGCGGGCACGCTGGGGGAGAAGGGAGGGGGGGGGTGGTGGAACTATAATAATATAGGTAGTAGTATCAACAGTAAAAGTAAAAGTAATTCTATGAATAGTAGTAGTACTAATAGTTTTGGTAAGAGTAATAATAGCAAGAATAATCAAAACAGTAATAAGAATCATCATAATGACAATTTAAACATAGGGTCAAGGTTTTTGGGGCATTTATAGGGGTTTTATAGGGGAATGAGATTCAGGGTCCCTTCTAAGGGGTCCCTCCTCATACCCCTTTAGTCAAGGTCTTATTGGGGTGCAGGTTTTATAGGTTCAGGGGGTAGGTTTCCCGGCTTAAGTTTTGGGCTTTAGGACACAAGGGTTTTGAGTTCATTTCTTATAGTTGTGTTTTTGAGCGGGGGGGGTTCCGACGGTTCTCGGGCTTTGGGGATAAGGTGTCCCCGATTAGGGCATTTACGGGTTTTAGGGTTTGGGGTTTAGGGTTTAGGGGTTTGGGTGTTTGGGTCGCCAACTCCTCGTCGGCAGGTGCATGAGCAGCCGTCAGCGAAGAGTTTTGCTGTAGGTTTCAGTTTCTAATCGTGGACGAAGCCCCCCGAAGCCTCAAACTCTAAATCCTCGGGCTAGAACTTTTCGGAAGTTGTAAGCCCTGAGCCTTATAAACCCTAAGCCCGAAACCCTAAACCCTAAACCCTAAACCCTAAACCCTAAACCCTAAACCCCAAACCCCAAACCCCAAACCCCAAACCCTAAACCTGAAACTCCCCCACCTTTCCTCCCACGCCCAGAACATGCGCGTGGGCATCTGGGCGGCGACGCTCATCGTGCCCGTGGGCTTCGGCTGGACCTGGTACCGGTCTGCGGAGTGCGGGCCCTAAAGGAAAGGGGGGGCCCCTTAAGGGGCCTCTAAAAGCCCTAGGAGGCCCAAGAGGCCCTAAGAGCCCTTAAGGGCCCTTAAGGGCCCTTAAGGGCCCCTAAGGGCCCTTAAGGGCCCTAAGGGCCCACAAGGGCCCTAAGGGCGCCAAAAGGTCCTGAACCCTTGAGGGGCTTCGACGGAGTGTGGG